AACTTGCCAGCTCTTTGGGAAAAATTAACAATAAGCAAGACCCCAATCTCACTCTTAATGAATTAAAAGCATAAGTGAAAAAAATAAAATTGAAAAAATGAAGGAGAAAATATGGGCACATATGTTTCAATCTTGAAGGAACTGGCACAAGAGGGCAGGAGATCTAAAATAAGAAACCATAACCAAAAAGATATATTTATCTGCACCCAAATTTTAAAATTTCTTACAACCCAAATAAAGACATATAAAATATATAGTTGTGAATGCATGCTCAGTCACCTCAGTTGTGTCTGACTCTTTGTGACCCCATGGACTATAACCCCCAGTCTCCTCTGTCCATAGGATTCTCCAGGCAAGAATACTGGAGTGTGTTGCCATGCTCTCCTCCAGGGGATCTTCCAGACCCAGGGATCAAACCCACATCTCCTGCATTGCAGGCAGATTCTTACCACTGAGCTACTGGGGAAATCACTACAATATATAGATACATAGCATTAAAGATAGGCAACAAACTGTGGAAATTATTTGCAACACAGATTAAAACTGATGGTTAGTATCAATATCCAGGACTGACAAATAGATGGAGAAATGAATGCTCTCATCTCTGGGGACAGCCATGCTTAGAATAAAAGCTCTCTTTGGAAATCTATTAATAGGTATTAATGCTTCAAATGGATGTTTCATTAACCTAGAAATTTCAGTTTTTCACTTAAGGGAGGGAAATGTATATACAAATATACTAATTGCATCATTATTCCAAAAGCTTAGAGAAGGGCATGGCAATCCAATCCAGTATTCTTGCCTAGAGAATCTCATGGACCGAGGAGCCTGGAGGGTTACAGTCCATGGGGTCACAAAAGAGTCAGACACGAATGACGTGACTTGGCACGGCACAGCACAGCACAGCATTCCAAAAGCTGTGACTTGAAGATAACCCAAATGCCAAATCATAAAGAATCTGTTGATTAAAATTTGTAGTAATATTTGATTAAAATTTGCAGTAATGTTGAGACAAACCTGGAACCCTTTGCTGCAGTGCTTGCACCTGGACACACCTCTCCTCCAGCAACAAAATACAAAGAAACCGTATGGAACTAAAAATAACTGCATGCATGTGTAGTTGGGGCAAATTCTGGACCAAAAGAGACCAAAAACCCCAACTGCCACTTTTGAGGAGCCTGGAGCAAAAGCAGGATACTGCACATGCCCCCTGTACACAGCACCACCTAAAGGTGAGCAAACCACCTAAGCCACCCCTCCAGCCCAACTCCTGGACACAGCCCTACCCTCACCCCATATAAGGAACCAGCTTGTCCCCCAACCCATGCCAGGGAGCAAGCAAGGGAACCTGTTGTTTGTTCTCACTCCCCGCTCTCTCCCACTGCAGCAGGGACCTCGATAAAGCCTGGCCTGAATCACTTGTCTGGCCTCTGATCAATTTCTATTGATTAAGAAGGCCAAGAACCCTAGTCCATAATGATATGAAAATATGTCCTCACAAACTGTTAAGTAAAGAGAGATGATAAAACAGCATGTGCTTCAGAATCTCATTTTGGTAAATATGTTAGCAACGAGGAAAGTCAAGGACATTAAATAGAAAAGAAGAAAATCAATGGAGGAGTAATCTCTTTATTTTCTACATTGCCTTAATACTTTACAAAACGCCTGCATTACATTTACAGTCCGACGGTATAATAAGGCTATTTTCACTGGTCAGAAAGTAAAGGTATAAACCCCTCACATCTACATGTGGATCCTGGAGCAAAGCTAACAACCGAGCCCAAAGTTGGAGGAATGATTCCCCATTGGCAAAGCCTCTGTTTCCAAAACTTCTCTGACTCAACATATTAAATTCTTCACTTTTTTAGGTGATGTGAAAAGTACATTTTTCTTTTGGAGTATGGTGCCAAAAGACCAAAGTTTCTCTAAATGTTACACCTACACCACACATGCACCTCTCATGTGTACATCACACTACACTTACACACACACACACACACACACACACACACACACACACACACACACACCCCCCAAAGACTCCCTCTTCCCAGGGCCTAAAGGCAGGTCAGACTCACACAACTCCCAGGTCAACAAATGCCCAAGCTGAGCAGTCTTCTGAAGCCCCACAGAAATCTCCCCATAAAGACTTATTAGGATTTTACACTAAGCAATGTCCATGTCACTAGCTAGTCATTTCTAAATGCAGATATCAAACCCACCAAAATACTCCTTAATTCTCCTTATTGTTTCCTTATCTGCAGAGACCTCAGCCCAGAGAGCTGGAAGTTGGGAGACCCAGAGAGCAAGTCCTCTGTGATGGGCTGTAGTTGAGCAGTCAGGATCCCCATCACAGCGCCACCCTACGAGATTCTTTGCAAATGTTGCTTCCACTCTCCAGCCTCAGTTTCTCCATCTGTGAAATGGGGTTATTGACCATTGTTCAAAAGCCTTATGGAGAGGATGGAATGAAACAAGGCAAAGCCCAGATGCACTTGTGAGGTCTGGTGGGCATCTTTTCCACCTTCGGGGAAGAGTTGGTCTCTGGCCTGGTAGACAGCATACACCATAGCTAGACATGCCCATCTCTGCCTGCTATGGCAGGAGACGCCTACCTGCTCCCAGGCACCCCCACCCCAACCCAAACTGCAGCTGATGTCTCCTTAAGCAACTCCTCTGAGTGCCTTCCAGTGGTCCTGAACTCTGGCTGGAGACCAGGGGGATGACCAGAGGGCCCCTTCATAGGCTCTGCTCAGGTTTCTGCCAATGGAGATTAGAGAGAAAGCAGTGTGTTTACAGCTCAGATGGACATAATTAAAGTCCTAGGCCTGCTGTCACCTCCTCTCTCCCACATGAATACTTTCAGCCACATCCAACCTTTCAGTGCGGCCTGACCCACAAGGAATTCCTACAGTTCCCAGCAGGAACTCCAAAACTAGCCAGAGGGGGCCATGCGGCCTCCCCAGTGCCAGAAGTGGAGAGCCAGGAGGTTGAGAGGGGATTTTCTTCATCCAAGCTTCAGATTGATGCTTCTCAGCCTTGGCTGTGCATCTGAATCAACTGGGGAGCTTTCCAAGTACTGATGCCCAAGTCCCACACTCAGAGGCTCCAATTTAACCAGCCTGGGGTGCAGTCTGAGCACAGAGATTTAAACAATCTCTCCGGAAGCTCTAAGCCCACCAGAGTTGAGGCCCACTGCAGTGCATTCAGCCCTTGTCTTGATTTTTCACCTCTTCCCCAGAACCAGAAGGTGGTTTTCCTCCTGCCTTCCTAGACAGAAGGAACTCCTGGGCTGGTCTAAGCTCCAGGAAACAGGAGCTGTGTTTTGTTTATCACCATGTCCCCAGTGGCCCAGCCTCAGCCCTGACACAGACTAGGGGCTCAGTGAACACTGGTGGGATGAGGTGCATGTGACTGAATGAATGAAATGATGAACAAATCCCATCCCTTTCACTTTTTGGGTTCCCGAAATTCTCGAAAGTGTGGTCTGCAGACCAGCACCGTCATATCAGCTGGGAGCTTGTTAAAAATGCAGATTCTCAGTCCAAGGCCCAGCCCGATCCCAGGTGGTTCATGGGCAACAACTATATTACTGGTTCTACCATTGATTAGTGGTTCTCCCACTTTGCTGCACATTAAAATCACCAGTGAAAGTATATATCTGCCTATGGCCTTTTGGGTCCCCAGGTGATGGCTAACTGTCCCCAAGTGATTCCAGTGTGCTGTCCAGGTTTGGAACTCCGGTATCATAGATCTCTTTGGCCACAACAGCCTCTAAGCAGACCCGATCTTTTTTTTTTTTTTTTTTTATGAGTATAGTTGCTTTTGAATGTTGTGTTAGTTCAAAGTTTCAACGTTAGTTTCACTTTGTGGCTGTATCACAAAGTGAATCAGCCATAGGTATACATATACATATATCCCCTCCTCCCTGAACCTCCTTTCTATCCCCTTCCCATCCCACCCTTCTTGACCATCACAGAGCACCGAGCTGAGCTCCCTGTGCTATGCAGCAGCTTCCCTCTAGCTATCTGTTTTACACACGGTATTATATGTATGTCAATTCCAATCTCCCAGTTAATCCCCCCTCCCCTTCCCCCACTGTTTCCACATGTCAAGCAGACCCAATCTTGGCTCTGGCCCACATGAGAGAGGCCCCCTTTTAGGATAATGGCCAAACCCTCTGCAACACAGCAACCAGTCATTCAACTCTACACAGCCAGTGGGGAGAGACCACCAAGTTCAAACCCTGCCCCTGCCACTTTCTAGCTGAGTGACTCTGAACAAGTCACTCAACCACCCCAGGCCTCCATTTCCCCCTTCTGCACCATGGAGCTGATGAGGGGAGAGGGGAGGGGATGGACACTACTCCTAGAGCTGTGTGACAATTAGATGGCTTAGTCAATCTGAAGCACTTAGAACTGAGGCTGAAGTTTCCTTGGCGTCTGTATCAGGCTTCCTAAGAGAAGAATTTAGAGGAAGAGAGACTGGATTAAGAAACTCACTTCTGGAAACTTTGCTTTCACAAAGAGGGCAGAAGAGAAGTAAAGGTGGTCACAGTGCAGGGACCCTCTTGGGAAAATCGAGACTAAATGAAGAGTTTTAGCCATCACCCTTCTTTGCTTTCATTATTCGTGAAGAAAAATCCTTAGAGAGAGTTCCCAAGCCCAAGCGTGGGAACTGAGAGGCAAGAGTAAGGCTAACTCGGTCAGTTCCTCCCTCAGAATGGTCCCCATCTTAAAAAGGCAGGCTTTCGCCATTGTGCCCAGGACAGGGGCTGTTCCAACTTAGGCACGGTCGGGTATCTCTCTGTGGATTTCCCGGGGCCTTCCCAGAGCTTATTCCCAGGCCCTTCCCTCGCTCCAGACCAGGGTGAGTGGGTGTGGGGTGTGTGTGTGTGTGGTATGTGGATGTGTCTGTGTGTTGCGCGTGAGAAGGAGGGAGGTGGGGTGTCAGCAGATTTTGTACTGAAAAATGGTGCCCGTCCTTCCTTCCTCCCGAAGGGCTGCGCTCTCGCCTGTCCCCGCTGCAAACAGGCCAGGCCGGGCTGGGGGGCGCCGCTCCCGGCCTGAGCGGGGCAGCTGCCCTCTGCGGCAGACGACGGTGCGCGATTCCAGCTCCAGCGCCCCGGCTGCCCGGCGGCCAGCGCGCCCTCCTGGTGCAGCAGGCGGGCGCTGTGACGTTCCCGGATAAATGCCGTGTAACTGTGTAGGCGAATGAGAGCTAAAAATAAGAACGGAAAATCTATCATTAAGGTATCATTGCGCCAGCGCAGCTATTTGAAGGCTCCCATGGTCCCTGGCGCCTGCGTTTGAAGCCCGCCTTCAGGCTTTGGAGGGTATTTGCAGAAAACTGCCAGCAGCGGCTCGCTAGCCAGACCTCGGGGCGCAGGGGTGGCGCCCATAATTATGGCAACACTCAAAATAAATTAAAAATAAATGCTCACTTCCCCCCTCCACATCTCCGCCTGTATTGTCCTCAGGTCGCTAGGGAAGCCACCAGAAGTAGGGTTGGATGCTGAAATGATGTGACCTGGCCGGTTAGGCAAATATTAGAACTGAAAGCTCTTTCAGGTCCATTTCGCCATCCACCTTCCTCCATCCACCTCGGAAAAGAAAAATAAAGTACCAGGAAGGAGCCTTTGGAGGAGAAAATGACAAATGGGACTTAACCCCAGGTCTACAGTGCGCTGCGGCGGGGCGCAAAGACGCCAGCTCCCAGGATGGCGAGCCTCTGGTGTTCCCTGGGTTAAACGAAAATTGATCTGGTTTGTTAACACCCAAAGAGGAGAAGAGGAGATCGGGGGAGGGAGGACAGGATTTGTGTTTGTGCGTGTGCGCGTGTGTCCGGGGAGGAGGAGGCGCCAAGGTGCAGCCTGCGCGCGGCTCTGCGCCTCGGCGGGCTGCGTGCGTGTGTCCCTGTCCGCGCTGCTGAAACGGGCTCTTCGAGGGATCAGCGTCACATGACTCCGCCTGCCCCTCGCCAGCGCGCAGCTCGCCAGTCCCTCCGTTTGCCCGGCGCCGGGGGAGGGTCGGGAGGCATCTCCAGGGCCCCGGGGCTCTGCGGAGCTGAGAAGAGGTTCTGGAGGGGAATGGTACATCTGGATTCCAGCAGCCGCGGCTCGGCGCCAGATCCCAGACTGTAGAGATTTTGGCGGGGGAGGGGAGAGCGCGAAGGAGCGAGCGACAGAGAGCGCGCAGCGCGCTCGGACCGGAGCTGCCGGGTTCCGCGCGGAGAAGATGTAAGCGCGTGGAGTCGAGCTGGCCTCCGAGCACCATGCAGAAGGGGATCCGGCTGAACGATGGCCACGTCGCGTCCCTGGGGCTGCTGGCGCGCAAGGACGGAACGCGCAAAGGCTACCTGAGCAAGCGGAGTTCGGACAACACAAAATGGCAAACCAAGTGGTTCGCGCTGCTGCAGAACCTGCTCTTCTACTTCGAGAGCGACTCGAGCTCGCGGCCCTCAGGGCTCTACCTGCTGGAGGGCTGCGTCTGCGACCGCGCGCCCTCCCCCAAACCTACGCTCTCGGCCAAGGAGCCGCTGGAGAAACAGGTGAGGCCAGCCCCGGGGCTCCGGGCCTTTTGCCGGCCGAAGGCGCCCGAACTTTATTCCCTCTACTTTCAGCGCCCTCGGAGAGATGGGAGGGTTGGCCTAAGCGGGCTGTAACCCGCGGTGGCCAGAGGGGGCCAGGACTGCAGGCAGGGAGCGGGTGTGGGCTGCGGCTGTCCTGCACCCGGCGAGCTCGGCAGGAGGCGGGCACAGAGCGGGCGAGACGCGGAGGTGCGGAGGTGCGGAGGGAGACGCGGTTTGGAGAGAGCTGGGGTTTCCCGGGACAGACAGAAACAATGAATAGAAGCACATCCAGCCAAAATTGGTGCTCCCACCCCGGAGAGCCCCGGACAAGGTAGCTGAATTTCCCCGCGATTAGACCCGGAAAGGGTGAGACCGAGGCGTCCGAGCGCCGCGGCCCCTACCTCACCGCGGCGGGAGCGAAGACGAGCCAAGTTAGGGACTGCGCGCAGGGGTCGGTTCGGTGCCATCGACCGGTGGTGAATTCCCAGCCGTCTCCAAGCCCAAGCAACAAACCGAAGGGTTCCGGGGACCCTTCTGACGCGCTGGGGCCGGGTCTGGGGCTGGGGCCGCTGCGGAGGCCGCGGGACAAGTAGGCACATCTCTCACCCCCGCCCCCTGCGCCGCCGCCGCAGTCGCGCCTCTAGCGCTGCCCTGGGGTTTCCGGAGTTGCGAGAATGAAAGTCGAGGCCTGGATGGACCGGGGACCGGGGTGCCTTGGAGGTGAGCCTTTGGCGTGGGGGGATGGAGTAGGACCTGCGGCCGCCGAGTGAGAACCGCAGACAGTCGGAGAGCGATTTTTATGCTTGCTGCGCTCTCCAAAGGCATCCATCCCGATGCCTCGGGGAAGGTAAAGTCAAAGATAGCTGATGCTAAAATGTCACCGCTGCGAGGGACCTGCGATCCGACGGGAACTAACCAGCTGGTTACTGCGTGGTTGAAGAACAGAGGCCAAAAGAGAGAAATTTGCTTGCCCAGTGTCATCCTAGGAGTTAAGGCCACCTTAAGGTTCTGAGAAGAGAACTGAGGGCTCGAAAGCCATTACTGCAGGCAGACTGGCAGCGATTGAATTGAATTAAATAAAAGCATCCTTGAAGTTGCCCTCCTGATGGTCCAAGACAGAGCTCTGAGCTCAGACCCTGCAGCGTGTCTCTCCCTGCTCTGCCCACAGCCCATAGGTGCTGGGAGATGAATTGGGAGGCTGGGAAAGGTGGACAGGAGTATTTGAGGATGGATCTCTGAGAATGATGTGCCTCCTGGCAGATAGGGGCCCTCAGATGGCAAAGTGATGCAAAAAACAGGCAGCTCCTTAAACTCAAGGCAAAAATGAGGCCTGGAAGACTCCCCTAGGAGAGGCAAACCCAGCCTGGGCCAGAGATGCTCTCACAGCCTTGACAACCTGCTCTTTACTGGCCTTCCAGAACAGTACCAACACTTGCCGGCCAAAGTTCACCCATGGCCTAGAGCCCCAACTAGCGCCCATCCTCAACTTCATATACCAGAGCAGAGCTGAGCTCCCAGGCAGGCAGGGAGAAAGGGCTGATGGAAACTGAGCTGCTATTGGGCTCACAGTGTCTGCTCTCAGCCCCTTGGACCAGGAACAGGCCTGAGATGATTCGCAGCTCTGCAACTTCCTGTCTGTGTGACCTCAGTTAACACACTAAACTTCTCTGAGCCTCTGTTTTGTAATCTACAAAGTGGAGGTAATAACACCTATCTTTTGGGGGTTTTGAGAACACGTATAATGTGTATGCAAGGATGCTCACGGTCCATTTTAGTTTGATGTTTTAGTTTGAATCTGAATGATACCCACCTGCCCAGGGAGTAGAGGCCTAACATAAAATGTTGAAGCTGAAAGGAACCTCGGAGAGATCGTAGGATGCACTCCTCCCATTTTACAGACAGGGAACCCTGGAGAGCAGATTGGGAAGAGCATTATCTACCTTATTCAGATTGAGTGGCAGAATTAAGACCTAGAATTCATCCAGTGTCTTAAGAATTCCTAAAAATCCCCTCTTACATTGATTCTAAATCATTCACCTTTGGGCTCAGGTGTTGAATCATGCTAGCAGTGGATTATGGGAGGGATGAGCGCAAAGCCAATTGGCGGTGTCCTCACATGATCCAAGCCATTTTCCCAGAAGAGCAATGGTCAAGAGATCCTCCAGTATGGTCGTGAGAGTAGCCTTCCTGGCATAGGAGAACAGAAGAGGGTTGAGAATAGTAGGTGGCCATCTGGTACCGCCCAGCTCAGGTGCAGATTTCTGTTAAAGACGTGTGCTTTGTCTTATACACTTCTGTAGATGGTCCATTTGACTCCAGGCCAAATTTGGCTGCTCCTTTGCACTGCATGTATCTATAAAAATTTATAGCTTTTTGTTTTCTAAATCTTTGAGTAAAATTGATGGTGCCAGCAGCAGATCGGTGTTTCTCCTTGAATTGGAGTCCCTGTGGCACCCACAGTGCACCAGCATGAGAGGCCCAGCTCCAAGCCATTCTGTGACTAGATTTGCCTTGCAAACCACAGGAAACCTTGATTCAAAACCAGCTGGGCATGTGGCAGAGAACCCACATGTGAGGGGCCACAGAAAGGCTATCAGTTTGACTGGACTGGCCAGTATCTAATGAAGACTCGATTTTAGCAGAATGTCATTTTTATCCAGTGGAGAAGGACATGGCAACCCACTCCAGTACTCTTGCCTGGAAAATCCCATGGACGGAGGGGCCTGATAGGCTACAGTCCATGGGGTCTCGAAGAGTTGGACACAACTGAGCGACTTCACTTTCACGTTTCATTTTCATGCATTGGAGCAGGAATTGGCAACCCACTCCAGTATTCTTGCCTGGAGAATCCCAGGGACAGAGGAGCCTGGTGGGCTGCCATCTATGGGGTCGCACAGAGTCAGACACGACTGATGCGAACTAGCAGCGGCAGCAGCAAGCAGGCAGCATGTCCACCTGGGAGGATCAGGGTTAGTTTCTCTAGAAATAAAAACCAAGTCTTGGCTGGAAACTACCCCAGTGACAGGGATGCGTGAGGAATGAAGCACACAGTAGGTGCTCAGGAGGTACTTATGGAGCTGAACTTATTGGTGTGTCCTTGTTAATTCCACACTCCATGTCCTCAATACTGTCTGTACAGCAGTCCAGGCCCTGAGCTGTGCCATAGGCCCAGGAAGCTTGGGTGTCATAGTCCCCAGCCCCCCAGGAAGATGAACACAGATAAAGATGTGCTAGAGCTGTACAGGCTGTGAAGATGCTCAAGTAGGATATGCAGGGGCTCTGGGAGCCCAGGCCACCCTAACATGATGTACTGTCCTCTGGCTGCCTCTGCACTGGTCTGACTGCCTCTGGTGCAGCCCTAACGTCTTGGAGCCCTGACTTGGGATCCCAAAGCCTCATAAAGTCACAGAGGCTCAGCCATGCTCCCCTGCCAAGCGGCAGTTGCAAGCACTCCCTACACACTGGCCTGAGCCCTGCTTGTTCAGTCCTGACCTCCTCGCCTCTGACCCTATGGCCCACACACTGACGACCAAGAGGCTCTGAACGGAAAATTTGGGTTCAGAAATTGATCCTGAATGTTCTTTTTTTAAGATTTTTTTTTTATGTGGACCATTTTTAAAGTTTTCATTGAATTTGTTCCAATACCGCTTCTGTTTTATGTTTTGGTCCTGTGGCCGCAAGGCATGTGGAAATCTTAGTTCCCCGACCAGGGATCGAATCCATACTCTTTGCATTGGAAGGTGAAGGCTTAACCACTGGACCACCAGGGAAGTCCCAACCATGGGTGTTGTTGCTCTACTTTGGCATGGAGTCACCCCACACTGGCTTTTTCTACCGTCATTCCCAGCTCTCTGAAACAGAGCTGCCAGCCCCAACTTCTCAGGCATGGACTTGACCAAACCAACCCCAGGACTCCCTTATCACCCCACCAGGGAGGGTCAAAATGTAGACCCCAGGCTCTTCCTGATCCCTTCATCCAGAACCTCATCACTGATATGGGCAGAGGGTCCAGAAGCTGGGGGACCACAGTACCTGCTGTCCACCCATGGGTGCCTTTCCCTGGAGACCAGATGAAGGCCCTCTCCTGGTCCTCTTTTCTGGGTGGCCTGGTGTCTCCATGTTAAAGACAGCCGTAAGTCCATGAGCATTCCCGCTTTGCAGATGAGGAAACAATCTCATCCACACCACCGAGCAAGGTAGTGGCCGAAATGCTCTCTGGCTTTCTCTGCAGCGGCATTGTCTTCACCACAAAGCCTGCCCTCCAATTGCTATAGCTCATCCTGCCTCTTGGCCAATCAGAAAAGCACAAACCTGGATGCAGGGAAATAAGCTTACTCTAAAAGCAGCGGGAAGGGCTAATGACACCGTAGTTGGGATGTTTATTTGTGCAGTACACAGTTTGGCTCTCTGTGTCAGGCCGATACCCAGTCCTGTGGATACAGAAAAAAATGAAATTGATTCCCTGTCTTTAAAGAGCTCACCATGGAGTAAAGCACACCTTAAATGCCAAGTGCCAGAATTCTCCATACTCAGGAGTCCAGACTCTCTTCCCACCCCTGCTTGGGTCAGGAGCTCAGTGTCAGGCTTGATATGTTGGACTCGCTCACATGGTCCCTCCTTGCCCCACACCAGTCCCTGGCCACATGGCAATCCTTGGGACTGAGCTTCTAGA